TGTCGAATGTCGAAAAGGTGCATTGTCTTCGAAGCTTCATTGGAAATTCAAAGGCATTCCTCGAAGACGATTGGTAAAAACTAGGTAATTAATATTCGCCGGTCAGCAAAGTACCCACCAGAATAATCTAACGTAACCTTAACTGACCTCGGATGTGGTATAGGTGTTATATGCGCCTATAATCGGAGGTTCCCTCGTCACAGTATCGCAATACGTGTCGTTACAAACACAAACAATCGCACCCGATCCTCTCGCCTGGCATACGGTATCTGCAGATATTTGGTTCTGATTAGGGTTATTTAAGTTTTCGCTAGTTACATAGACGCAGAAATATTTTTAATCGATTTCATTTTAAGAGTGCCATAAAGGATATCACGCCGGGTGTACTCATGTTGAACAATGCGACTATAGCAACAATAAAATAATGGAAATTTACTGGTAGTAGGACGTCTTATGAGACCAGTGACCACACGGGTAGACACCACCACCCAGCCTATTTCTGCCGTGAAGCAGTAACGCGTTTTGGTTTGAAGGGTGGGGCAGCCGTTTTACTATAGAGATGAGACTTAGAACTCATGTCACAATGTGGGTGACGGTATTTACGTTGTAGATTTGGGCTCCAGCAACTATTAAACACTAGGTTAACACTAGGCCGTCAGCTTCACCCAACTAAGCAATAACAATATTCAGCAAATTAGTTTTTATCGGCCAGAATATAAAAATAAACTGTAGCTTAAACTCTTGACCCGTAGTTTATTGAACTATTCGTTGATACACTACAAAAATAAACGTTATCTAATTTTATTTATCACACGTAGGTATATAGTGACGCAAAAGAAACAGTTAAGCTAAAAACAAATTGTTTATAAATAAACAACAAATTCTCTAATAAGTACACTTGAAAATAGAATTCGTTGTTTGACAAAAAATAAAATTTGAATTATTTGATTCATGAAATCAATAATATTTGCAATGCCCAATGTAATATTTACATGCAACTTCATGGGCAAGGTATTGGATATATCCTGATAATTAATTTTAAGTTCATTTATACAAAAATGATGAAAAACATACCAGAAAGAGCTCCTTTCAAAGATGCGTACAATGTTAAGAAAGAAATGCAAATTAAAATTTTCATTTTGTAAGTCCCTTAAAAAGTTCTAAATCGTATTATTCCGTTAACAATTTACGATTTCTTATTTCAAACCACATTTTACAAGCAAAATACGACTGTGTATTAAGTAGTCTCATCGGCTACCATGAATGAACTAACAGCTAACTGGTCATTTTGAAATCTCAATTCATACGAGTATTAGGGATGTCACTGTATTGGATTATTTTATATAAATTAAATTTACCTTAATGTTTTTTTTTAGCTATTTTTTTATACCCTCCGAATCTTCACAATCTTCAGCATCAGCCTTTGTCTTTTCACTGCTACCCCTTGTGTGTGTATTAAAGTATTTCAAAATCTATTTGTTACAAAACTCATGTACTCCTGTTACTGCTCAAATGATTTAAAAATAACCTAATAAGATTTGTACAATAGTCAAGCCAAGGCTGCGACTCAAGAATGATATAATTTGGGTAATGGTATTTGGTTAACTAGTGGTAGGACATTTTGTGAGCCCGCATGGGTCAGTGCATCACCCTGTCTATTTCTGCCATGAAACAGTAATGTGTTTCAGTTTGACAGGTGGGGCAGCCGTTGTACTGTAAAAACTGAGACTCAGATGTCATGTCTCAAGATTGATGGCGGCATTAACGTAGTTGATGTCTATGGGCTTCGTTGATCCTTAACACCAGGTGGGTCATGATCTCGACCATCCATCTAAGCAATAAAAAAAAGAAAAAGGCGATGCTTTCCCACTATACTTGGTCCAACAGGCTTCGTGTACCTAAAGATTACGTCATAGATAAGTATTAATGTGCTCTCACGCTGCGCGTAAATATGAAAAATTAATAAAAAAATACTCCGACATTATTGTTTGGTATTTTTTTATTTGCTTCGATAGGTGGATGAGCTCACGGCCCACCTAGTGCTAAGTGGTAACCGGAGTCAGTAGACATGGACAACGTAAATGCCGCCAGCCACCTTGAGACGTGAGTTCTAAGGTTTTAGTTACAACGGCTGCCCCACCTTTCAAACCGAAACGCATTACTGCTTCACGGCAGAAATAAACAGGGTGGTGGTACCTACCTATACAGACTCACAAGACGTCCTACCACCAGTAATAACTTAGTTGTGGAAAGGAGAGACAAAAATTAAGCAACAAGAAAATATAAATCTATAATATAACTATTAAATTAGTTAACTGGACTAAAACTATTTATCGACAACCGGAGATTAAATGTCACGATGACTCGTCGCTGGGTCAAAAGTAATTTTAGTCTCGATAATGTTATCTCGAAACACTTAGGTAAACGGGAAGTTTTAAGTCAAATTTGTAAATATACAAAATCCTAAGTAAATAATATATATGCATGTAGATGCAAATCATAAGCGAGACCAAACGTTTTGATAAGAAATAAATACGGTAAACCCTTTTTACTACTTAAAAAACTATATATAGTATTTTATTATTTTTCGTGGACAGGTGAATAAGCTGAAAGCCCACCTGCCATTAAATAGGTACCAGATAACCCATAGACGTAATAATGTGAACACCGCCATCCAATTTGAGACTTGAGGATTATGCCTCAATTGTATTGTAATTGAACAAATTATAATATTGGCCAGTTTCAGTTTTATTACGCGATGGAGTAACCTTCATCGCGGAAGTCATTCTTGTACATGAGTTGAACGTATTTCATTAGAAAAATTGTAAATTGCCTGCGAGATTCGAACACCGGCACGGTCGCGTCGCTCAATACAAGTTGACCAGACGTCTTATCTTTCAGGCCACGACGACTTCAGAATAAGCTATCAAGTGAAATAGCAACAAGACCAAGTGTCAAAGTAATTATGTTACATATTGTCTTACCTATTTTTTTTATTACATTGATTGTTGGACGAGCTCACAGCCCACCTGGATTTAAGTGATTACCGGAGCCCATAGACGTCTACAACGTAAATGCTGCCACCCACTTTGAGATATGAGTTCTAAGGTCTCAGTATAGTCAAACGGCTATCCCACCCTTCAAACCGAAACGCATTACTGCTTCACGACAGAAATACGCAACATAGAAGTCTTACCTAGAAGTATTTATTAGCATATCCTTCAGGCTGATCGCGCTTCTGAATCAAGAAGAGGTTAGAATAGATCTTAGCCTTGAGGGGCAAGGCTAAGATATCCAAAAAAGTGCACGATGTTACACTGGCTAATAAAAACTAAGTTGCCACACCTATCTATCTCTATAGTATATAAAAATCAAAGTATGTACATGTACATAATATGTGATAAGTATGAAAAAAAACAGCAGTGTGCCACTGGCCGTCTTGCCATATCACTTGGTTCCCGTTGTAATGGTTTCTAGCCTAAGGAACTATGCCAACCTCGCGCGGACCAGTAGGTGACCTCACGGACTCAACCTGAGAATTGCTAATACCAGCCCTAGCAACAGCAGTGAATCTACTACCGGATCGGAATCGCGACCCACTGAGAGGATCCGGCGAGAAACTCAGTGGGCTGTGTCTATGGGCTAGTTCACACGTCGAACTCTTCGGCGGGGTCGACGAGTTCGAAGAGGACGGTGACCGGTGCTTGAAGAGCCTAAAAGCACCGAGAGGATCCGAGGAATCCGACAGGACATGTTTTGGGCGACGGCGGCTTTGCTTTGCCTGGGTCGGATATGACGTGCTAACACAACAATATGCTCCTTATAGCTAGGGCTAGTATTAGCAAATTCGCCAAGCTGAGCCTCGTAAGTTCGGCTACACGTTCGGTGAACCTATTACAACCGTTCGAAGCTACTAGAATAGGAAGGTAAATATAAAAATGTTCCTTAAGGACTCCGAATAGGTTCGACCGATTTCGATGAAATTTACAGGAAATCTTCAAATCGGCCAAGCGAGTTATATTGTGTTGTGATAGTTTGGTAGCAATTGAATCAAAGTAAAATCAAAGAGATTTCCAGAGAGATTGGATCAGGTGTGACTTATTAATATAATGCATCGAGATAAAATGAAATTAAATAATAATGATTTAAAATTACAATTGTGATTTCTAAAATTCGATCAGTTTCGGTTCTAACGTGGTCTGCCGACTATAACTACACCGTTAGCCTACGCTAAGAAATAGATGATAATAATTTTTACACAATTAAAAACCAATCAAATGCATTATAGATCACGACTTTTGATTACCAGCCATGGATGAATGTGGTCCCACTGTTAAATGGTTAAGAAACTATCAGGCAAATCGAAAAGTACGCAACTTATAAAATTACCCAGCTACTAATTAGATATCACGAGTAATTGAGTTGTAGCAGCCCTAGCAAGAGCGTGAGCGTAATAACCAACTGATACACTTAAGGAGTTACGTCGGGTACCGCTTTCTCACTATAATTGGTATAACAGAGCGTATTCCACAGACTAACATATTACGCTGCTACTACCATAGCCTTTTTCTGGCTCCACAAATCGACCGGCGTTTTATGGACCAAAGGGTGACAGACGCAAAAACTTTTTTTTTTTTATTGCTTAGATGGGTGGACGAGCTCACAGCCCACCTGGGGTTAAGTAGTTACTGGAGCCCATAGACATCTACATCGTAAATGCGCCACCCACCTTGAGATTAGTTCTAAGGTATCAGTATAGTTACAACGGCTGCCCCACCCTTGAAACCGAAACGCATTACTGCTTCACGGCGGAAATAGGCAGGTTGGTGGTACCTACCCGTGCGGACTCACAAGAGGTCCTACCACCAGTGATTACGCAAATTATAATATGTGCGGGTTCGATTTTTATTTCACGATTGATCCTCGAAAAATACAACGTCTTTTATTCTTTCTGATTTACAAATACTGGGTACGGGGTGGGTAAATTAAAACAACACAAAAGATAGTTATGAGAATTTTATTGAACTACTTCTCACAGTCACATGATTCGTCGATTACGTCATTATGAAATTCGACTGTCGCAATCGAATTCTTCTCTAACAGGACCTTCGCTTGGCTGTATCCCAGCTTCAGACGTACCACTTTCTCTTTATTCTTACTGTAAATGTAAAAGGCATTTAATATTAACTCGTCTCATCATCATTAGCCCATGGACGTCCACTGCTGGACATAAACCTCAAAGGCTCCCAATATGGGCGTTCCTGCGCTGCCCTATATAATAATCCTACATTTTTTAATCCAAAATATATTCACTGCAAATGTAGGGCTTTACTTATGGACATTTGTGTTCACGATGCGAAGTCGTTGGATGCGGATGGTGGAGGACCGCATTATGTGGAAGGCATTGGGGAAGGCCTATGTCCAGCAGTGGGCAGATAAAGGCTGATGATGATGATGATGATGACTTATGGACAGTTCATCGCTTCTTTGGCCTAGTCACTGGTCTAGTCCTACTACCAGGTCTGTAAACGATTCCCATGCCTAAATTTTACGGTACTTATCTTTGTTTCTAATATTTATTAACACTGCCCATAAAATAGGAGAAAATTAGGCTTGGTTAATGTTCTGTTTATGCGCGAAACAGCGCGTGTTCATCATCACACACACAGCGCGTCATTCCCGTGTGAAGGAAGCGATAGCTGTTTTGAATCTGATCGAGTCTTCAACCTCTTGTTTCGAGATGTGTGAAGATGTTGTGATATTTACGGCTACAGATTAGGGAGGATTAAGAAGTATATCTTAATGCGTTTGACAATTCACATTCTAATACTATGCGAGTATAGATTTAATTTCGGATGTACAACGAAACGCGCAAAACTCGTCACAATAAAACAACTCCGTCTTTTTTTTTTGCGGTCAGCCTTGACTCTTGGCCAGTTAGCCATTACGAATAAGCGAAGTCGAGAATTCAGTCAGGGGGGGGGGAAAATTAGAGACAAACTATCAACATCCTACTAGGAACATAAGGCCCTCCTTGGTGGTCCACACTTTGTTACCTTTGTTAAAAAGAAGAAAAAAAACTTACTCATTAAAAACAACGACAACTATTGTATTCATGGGAGTCGAAAACGCTACATGCTTTATGGGATCCCCACAATTGTACTTCTCCACGGACTGGATCCTTTTAGAACCTTTAGGGATGAACTTTGAGAAGTGACCCATAGCGTAGAACAACGGCTGTTTGTAGAATACCCCTGCATCAGGGTCCACAATCACGGGCGAGTCCAGATAGGTTTTGGACAAAACAGGCCCCCCCATTTTGTCAAGACAGACGTTCCAATCGATCCAGGCTGTGTAGTTGTGATTTAGGTCCTTAAAGGTAAAAAAAAAAACCGATTTGGGTATTTTTAGCGTTTGGTAACAACTATAAATTTACTAGCTGACCCGGCAGACTTCATAGTGCCTCAATCGATAAATAAAAGCCCTAAACTTTTGTATAAAATAAACTTAAAACAAACAAAACGAATCCGTCCGACGGGGGACACATCAAAGGAAAAACAAAATTGTTATTTTTATTTAATCCCGAGCATTTTCATATTTATCTACCTTTTAAACCTTCTCTGGACTTCCACAAATAATTCAAAATCAAAATTAGCCAAATCGGTCCTGCCGTTCTCGAGTTTTAGCGAGACTAACAAACAGCAATTAATTTATATAGTTATAGATAATTAAATTTGGTATATACTTTTAAGAATATTTTATTGTAGTACAATATTCAAATGTTAATATGAAGAAGAAAATTTTCTATTATAATTTCGGAAACAATAAAATTAATATTATAAACGGTAAAAGCACAGCATTTCTGTTCTTCCATTAAAAAAATCTCTTAACATACCTCAATTATATTCTTGATATATTTTTCAGCTCGATCCCACGATCCTAAATCTACTTTATTATTCGTTTGTGAATCTGAAACCGAAAGTACGAATATAACAATAAATAAATCATAAAAACAAAAAATAATAACAATAAATAAATCTTAAAAACAACAAATACATAACAATAAATAAATCTATTTTCGAATTTGAAATGTCGAATCTACCTTCAATTATGCAATTGTTATTTTCGAAGTGAAAGATTTTTATAATTTAAGTTCTGATTAACGTGCAGCTATTTATAGACACAAAATACTGGTTGTTCGGAGCCAATCAGCAAAATGATTATTTTCGTGAATTACAATGGTATGTAGTAGACCTCTCAAATAACATTAAAATGTTTAATATTACGGTTATTTTAAAAAAGGTTCTTGGTTGTAAGAAGAAAATTGAGATCACCAACTATTATTTGAAATTAAGGATTAAAAATTATCATTTAGTTGGTACGTAGGGGATTTTTCAGAAAATCATACTTTATCTTAACGCCACGTTTTTTATCATCAAACTTTGATAGTTCCAGATTCCACGACCCAATACGAAGATTTTCGATGATTTATTTAAAAATGACCTCGAACCAGCGCTAGACAAGGTAAGATTATTAATAAATAACAATAAAAAAAACACTAATAACTTACGTATAGATGCTTCAGAAGACAAAACGAACAGATTAGGATAATTTTTAAAACATCGGTCGACTATCTCGGGCGGGACGAGTTCGTTTTCATAGTAATGTAGTCCGATCCCGTCAATAGCTCTCCCTAGTTCCGGTACATGTTTTAATGCCTATGACAACAACAAAAAAACATCGAATACCTATATTTCACAGTTTCTGGTTCCCATAACACTGGAATTCTAGTTTGAGACCAGATAACCGTGCGTGACTTGTCCTCGGCTATTATTACATATACTTACACGGTATTGGAAATGCTCACTGCTCATAAACACCTCAAAGTCAATACCGTTGGAAATCTGTATAATATCTATACGAGTATCCGAATATCCTACAACTGTTTTGCTACAAAAATAAACAGGACGGTGATACGAACCCGGGGCGGTAAGTACGATGCACGTAATGTAAATTTATTTTTATTAATAGTAAGCTTATTGTTAGCCCATTCGGGCATTTACCACCATCTTGCCCTAAAACAAAATTCGCTGAAGCCCGCGGGTCCGACCTCCTTTATGGTATGGGACAATTCTAACGGTAACTATAACAGAATTTAAAAAATCCAGAAAAAACCGGAATTTCCCTAACGCCATGCACAAGGTAAGCTTGCGTTAAAAGATGCATAATTATATGCATATATATGCAAGCCTATCTTGTGCATGTTACAATCACAATACTGCGGCCGTTGCTCTATCGGGCATAATTAACAGTTCGTAAGAAGGATAACTCTTTGCCGGTCCGTGAGAATACGATTTCGGTTCAAATTGAATGGTCATCCAAATAGTGATACCTATGGGATCCGGCAAAAATATAATTCGAAACATTTTATCATCATCACTTACCGCATTGAACCATAGTGGAACAGTAAATCTCTGGTCGTCCACTCCTAGTATCTTGATGCTTGGATCGTACCGTTTTATTTTTGGTGCCAAATAATTGACAATCCAATTTGCCTGAAATTTAAAATAACCTTAAAATAACCTAACCCGAAATCATTGATGTGGCTGGACTTAACTCGACCGACTACAGCATAACAATGATATAAGGTAAAATTCTCATATTCCACATTGCTATTTAAAACTTTTTGGTAGGTACTTGAAACATAAACTCATGCGGCTACTCCAATTCCTTATTTCAATGTTGATAATCATTCAAGTTGCATTATAGTCTGTAGTAAATTCGTAACCACAGGTGTAGGGCAAGCTCATCTCCCTAATTGATTGAAAAATCAACGACCAAATACCATAGAAAATGTAGCCTTATATAAGATTTATATCGTATAATGCTTATTAAATCCGGATATTAGTATGTACATAATTATTACTAATCTAAAATCATTCGGTTGTCTCCTTCCAGAGTAATTCAATTCCCGTAACAACTATACTCGTACTTACCAATCCGTAAACCGACCAGCCGAGTACATTATCATTAGCATGTTTTGTAATCCCGCTCAAAGGTTCATTCGTTGTAGTTATGCCCCAAATCGGAACGCCCTGTTTGTAATACTCTTTGATAAATCTGGAAACGTATAATAATTATACCTACAGTAATACCTGCAATACGACTTTTCTATGTTAAAAATTCGACATCTCAGTATTCCACACAATCAAATAGGGAAAAACCATTGATAGCAATCTATTTCTCTGATGTGGTGAGGGCCCAATGAGACCGGCCAGTACCAGATCAAGAATCGTTAGATTTTTATTTCTAACAGCCCCTCTGCATATCACATGTTTGACGGTTTGTGATAATTATTGCCTATCATATCATATCCTTGGACATCACAACATGAATTCGGCTACCCATATTCAGGTATGAATTTGGAATCTCAGTAGTAATCGATTAGCCGTTTCGCGTACCTCTTTCTCCTGATGAATATGTAGACACTTATCAGGATCCTTTGATCATATCGGTTATAGCACATGTGAAAATGCAAGTAAAAAGTCCAACTACACTTTGGTCGGCACACTTACTTGAGATGATACAGGGCGAGAGCGTCATAATATTCCTCCTCCAGGAAAGAAATTCCGTTCGACTTTTTCGTACTCTTCATCCACGCAGGTGGATACCATAACGATCCTAGGATATCTATTGAATCATTTGACGCTTTCATGCAGGCTTTTATCATCGGCAGCTGGAATTAACATAGAAAATAATAATAGCCGATTGTAAAATGCACATAAATACAACTGTCTTCGACGTGAATGGAATAAATATAATATGTAATGTACCCACCTATTTAGTGAGATAAAGTTCAGAAGAACAAAAAATGTTAAATTACTATTACACATTCAGATTCTACGTCGGACAGAGAGATCAAAGGAAAAAATATGTAAATCAACTCAATTCATGAATGAGCTTGATCTAATTCTAACTTACACAATCTACAAAGCGAACTTTCAAGACTGTGACCAAAAAAAGCGTTGTTATCCGATTTTATTTTGGGAAAAAATCGCCTGGAGGCGGCAAACCGAACAAAACTTTCTGTTACTCAGGCGATGCCCAAATCTCGCCAGATACAAAATACGGTCGACGCAAGAGAGGTGATGCGACGCGTCATAACTTTATGGGTCCCTTCACAACACCTCGCCTCTGGATCGAGAAGATTGATCGGAGTGTTCCTCAAATGTTACGGCAAGTCTGACTGACTCGGTGGTGCTATAACCAGACTCGAAAACTGGTTCCCATAGCAGAGGGACTCCTCGTTTGAGCCTAGATGACCGTATCTGACTTCTGCCCGGCTATAATTATTATTAGTTTAAATTAAATACGGCTTATAGTAAATTCGATGGTTTTAGGACCCTTAAGCACTCGTCACCATCCTCGTCGAACTCGTCGGCTACGACGAAGAGTTCGTTCGAACGAACTAACCCATAGACACAGCCCACTGAGTTTCTCGTCGGATCGTGGGTCGCAATTCCGACCCGGTGGTAGATTCTGCGAAGCACTGCTCTTGTTAGGGCTGGTGTTAGCAAATTCTCTCGGGTTGAACCCGTGAGCTCACCTACCCGTCCGTGCGTAACTGGAATAGCCCCTTAGCTATCACCAAATAGATAGGGGAAAAAAGTCCTATGAGATAATGAATCCATCATCCATTGCTAACTGCAAAAAATAGGCATACACCCTGTACGGATATCATTACCTTATAGTTCAAGTCCTCGGGAGCAAGTGTGAAGTTGCTTAAGTCCTTGTCTCTCTCGGGGTAGTCCTGGTATGTGTAGAAGCGAGGTGAGAAGTCGGTTCCACCGATCGGCACGCGGAGCATGTTGTATTGTATTCCGCTGTCGCCGCAGTAGGATCTACAAGCATATAAGATAAACATTGCATATCGACCTTTCGGAAGAGGCTATCGGTTTGTGACGGGTAGCCATCATAGAACACACAAGATATTTCACAGATGCCTTTTTTTATTGTTACCCTTGTAGGCAGACGAGCATACAACCCACCTGATGGAGAGTGGTTACCGTCGCCCATGGACTTCAGCAATGCCAGGGGCAGAGCCAAGCCGCTGCCTAACGAAAATGCCTGAATCTCGCTTACGACATTTTCAAGATAAGCTTGCATATATACAAGTTCCGAACAAATTCCGAATTCGGGCCATCGGTCTACCGAGCAATACCGAGCCCGCTCCGTGGAAGATCTTCCTTTTGACGTTAGACTCCTAAAGCCTTATTTCGGCTTCGTAAAGACGCAAAAAGATATTTCGTCAACTGCCGAAAATTCCCATTAAAATTTAAACTAGATTTTACTAGATGATAACCGATTTTTTTTTTGATTACGAAAAATAGTATTATTTAAGAAAAATAGTATTATATTCGCCAATAGATGTCGGGAAGATTTGATTATTGAAAACACGAATAAAACAACATTTTCTGAAAATAAATCTTAGCTAGATCGATTTATCGCCCCCGAAATCTAATTACTAATACTAAATTTTATGAAAATCGTTGGAGCCGTTTCCGAGATTCAGATTATATATATACAAGAATTGCTCGTTTAAAGGTATAAGAAAGATTTCGTTGCATGCCACGAAAACTAAAAAGCTTCGGGAAATGAAAGAAGAAAACGTCAAATTTAAAAATGTACTGAACTCTATTAAATTCTGCTTTAATTCTTCATCTTTTAAGTTGCTCCAATTGATGGCCGCTGAATCGGTGATGGCGCCTCCGAAGCCATGGATCGTCTGATACCTCTTTCTGGGTTCGAGTTCTAAGGTTGTAGAACATTCTGTTACTGAAATTACAGAAATTAATTCAACAGTAAAAAAAATACATACACTTATTTTTTAATATATTCTTTTTACAGTTGAAATACTGTTTATTTTTTGTACTGTTGAAGATTAGCACACGAAGGAGCACATGGCCAAAACTATTTATTAAGTGGATACTAGAACCTCAATCTAGCCTGCAATATATTTTTTGTATAGTATTAAAGAAAAATCCCTTTTTTAATGTATATACTATAATAAAAAAAATATAAATATATATATAGTTCTTTATATTCAGTACATCAACGTTCGTATATTTTACATAATTTTATATAATAAATTGATGTAATAATTGATGTAAATAATTATACCCTTACACAAATCGAAGACCTCCAAGATAGATGTGAACTTCTTGAACCGCAGTCCTGCCTAAAAAAGAATAAAGATCACCTTTGACTTCTCTAGTTTCCACCACATAATTCTAGCAGTCTCGGGCTAGGTTAAAATAATAGGTCTAAATAGAACACAAATTTAATGCACGTGTTTAAATCATACAGGCAGGTACCAAATTTTCCTAATGAAAGATGTATTTGAGACCCGTATTCACATATAGCTTCCACGATGCAAATAATATTGTGCTATAAAAATCAAACCTGCAAGAATTACGATTTACCTAATTACTCCACAATGGGACATATCAAGTCTTAAGGTGGGTGACGGAATTTACGTTGTGACCTCTATGGGTCCTGGTAGCACCTGGCAACACTCGGTCACCCATCTGTCTATAGAATCTATAGATATTAATACCTGAAACAAAAATTTTGTACCCCTTTTTACGAAAATTGCGCGGACGGAGGAGTATGAAATTTCTCACACCTATAGAGAATATAGAGAAGGAGTGCAGAATGTTATTATCTATATATTAATACGTGAAGCAAAAACTTTGTATCCCTTTTTACGAAAATTGCGCGGACGGAGGAGTATGAAATTTTCCACACTTCTAGAGAATATAGAGAAGCAGTGCACAATGCTAATATTTTTTTAAAATAATGCATAAAAGATACATTAAATCAATAAAGAAAACATTACACACACTACATACGATGTATTTGACGCACACACGCATGCATACTATTTATTGTCAAACTTTTGTTCTTGACGTCTGTTGTCAAATTGAGATTAAATATTGTTTGTCTTTGTTAATATTTTTTAAAAGTGTACTCTGGGCGAAATTTGTGATTATAGAAGTATAAAATACAATTATAATAGTGTACAAACTTACAATTCCAATTAATTATAGTCGAATTTCGACTACTGTGGGACCTCTAGTTATTTTTTAAATTGTGCATTAACATGCGCTACACACACTACCGTGTATTTGACACAACACATATACACACACATATACTCTGTGTTTATTGTCAAACTTTTGTTATTTTTGAAAATAGAGAATAGATTAATAATATGATTTTCATCTCAGCAGCTCAAACATGCCGCTTTTGCTGCGAGACAACAGTGAACAAAACGCGATTTTGATTCGATCGTGGGTCAAAGTAGCTTTTTAATTTTTCAATCTTCAGTGTCCTTTATCACGCAGCGTTGATCATGCCAAAGATACCACTAATTATATAATAATAATAATAATAAAGCCTTTATTCAGACAAATACATTTTTTTTTACATATACCTACAAGTGGTATTAATATAATTTTTTTTTTTTTTGGAAGCTTTTTTTTTACCTATGTTATTATTAGTTATTGTCTGTTTGTCTATTATAGACATAGGCCTCCTCCAACTGCCTCCATAAGCTTCTATTTTCAGCTGTTCTGGTCCATGTGCTTCCCGCAACTGCCTTAATGTCGTCCACCCATCTCCTAAATGGTCTACCTCGGTTTCTTTTTCTGTCTCTCGGATACCAGTACATTATNATGTGCTTCCCGCAACTGCCTTAATGTCGTCCACCCATCTCCTAAATGGTCTACCTCGGTTTCTTTTTCTGTCTCTCGGATACCAGTACATTATAGTTTTACACCATTTCTCCTGTCCTCTTATAGTATGCCCCGTCCACTTCCATTTAAGTTTCCTTATTGTAACTGAGACATCCTTTAATTGAGTTTGTTTTTTAATTGTTGATGTTATAACTACCACTACCACTAATTAATACACGTTAATTTTAATCGGCAAATGACACCGTGCGAACGCTACTATCACAGTAATGACCATAACAAATCTGCTAAATATTTTAATTTGAGTATTTTTAAAAGCCATGAAATTCATAGCGTAAGACAGACAAAAGTGGGCATCTTTGGAGGAAGCCTACACCCAAACCGGGGTTTCTTGTTAACTTAAATAATTATTTTAATACCCGTACTTATATATTACTAACATAATTTAAGCCCAACTTACTAACAAAAGTCATTATTTAATGTAATATTATCCACTTAAGATTGTAAAACCAGAAATAAAAATGTTTTTATTATTATAATTATTTTTAAAAGCTATAGAGAGCAGCTGTCAAGGCTTTAATAAGTTAAGGAAGAGAAGTGCATCGTTATTGCGTCTAGTTCGTGACAGTGGCAACAGTCTTTTAAGAATCATATCGAGCAAGATCGAGGGACTGCTGATCAATAGCCTTTGCAGTAGGCACTTGGAAGGAGAAAAAAAAATAATGGTATAAAATGTATATAATGATAGTTATGTGTTAGATTTTTTTTTTTTTTTTAAGTTACTAACATAGATTATAAGTAATTATTACTAACAAAATGTTATGGTTTAAAAAAAAAAACTGAAATAAAGTGTTAATAATAATAATAAATAATAATAATAATAAACAAGGATTTCACACGACCAGGACTGCTCTACCAAGAGTAACCGACTATGATGATGATGAACATTTTAAAATAAATATTTTTGATATTTTTTTGTCTCTATGAATCAGATTATTGAGAATCGTTCAAGATAGATGTCCAGGGTCCTGTCCGTTTCAGCCGCAAAACGCTTGAGCATTACAGCTCAAAAACGTATACAATATACTGGTGGTAGGACCTTTTGTGAGTCCGCACGGGTAGTTATCACCACCCCGCCTATTTCTGCCGTGAAGCAGTAATGCGTTTCGGCTTGAAGGGTGGGGCAGCTGTTGTAACTATACTGAGACCTTAGAACTTATATCTCAAGGTGGGTGTCGCATTTACGTTGTAGATGTCTATGGGCTCCAGTAACCACTTAACACCAGGTGGGCTGTGAGCTCGTCCACCGATCTAAGAAATAAAAAAACATATCTGAAGGTATTCACACTGCAATTCCTATGGCCCTTAGCAACCACGTAGTGAGACTATTATTCATCTCCTCATCTACAACACTAAATAAATAATACAAAATTAATTACATTTTATTTTTAATTGAATTTGTTAATAAGTCTCTTACGTTTTAACTACAGAATTACTACAAACATTTGTTTTAATAGTCGAATAGCAAATAATTAAACAGCTATAAAAACATCACGCTGTACGTTTTGTATTTGCTAGTTTATAATAAATTACGTTTTTATTGGTCTAGACCGCGAATGCCGGCACAATAACAGTATGACTTTGGTCACGTCACTTTGTTAACATCTTTATTTCTTTACTAGCGACCCGCCCTCGCTTCGCTTCGGAAACATTAAAACACACATGAAACCAAAAAAATAAATAAAAAATAAATAAAAAAAAGTAGCTTATGTTCATCAGGGACGATGTCGGCTTCTAATGGAAAAAGAATTTTTCAAATCGGTCCAGTAGATTCGGAGCCTATTCGAAACAAACAAACAAACAAATCTTTCCTCTTTATAATATTAGTATAGATATAGATATAGACTATAGTTTCAACACTATCACTACATAGTATAAAACAAAGTCGCTTTCTCTGTCCCTATATCTGTCCTTATGTATGCTTAAATCTTTAAAACTACGCAACGGATTTTGATGCTGTTTTTTTTAATAGATAGAGTGATTGAAGAGGCAGGTTTATATGTATAATAACATCCACTAAATAGTGGAAAAATTAAATAATAAATTACAGTTTCCGAAGCGAAGCGAGGGCGGGTCGCTAGTTTAAGAATAATTGAAATTCTAGCTGAAGTATGCTTGCGAGGAATCCCCACACCAAATACATTCGCATGACATAATCAAAACTAATTTTCCGTCTCATTATTTTCAACATTTCGAGCGCTTAAGAGTTTTAGCTACGAAAAACGAACGTACGTAAAAGTAACTTTAATTATGATTCGCGAAAATCGTGGGGAAATCGGTGCTAGATTCTGCGAAGCACTGCTCTTGCTAGGGTTAGTGTTAGCAACGTCGTCAGGTTTGAGCCCCGTGAGCTCACATACTAATTCGACGAATCTAGTATCCCTAACCCCTCAAGGTTACTAGAACAGGTAGAAAAAAAGTGGGAAAGTTTTTTTTTTATTGCTTAGATGGGTGGACGAGCTCACAGCCCACCTGGTGTTAATTGGTTACTGGAGCCCATAGACATCTACAACGTAAATGCGCCACCCACCTTGAGATATAAGTTCTAAAATCTCAGTATAGCTACAACGGCTGCCCCGCCCTTCAAGCCGAAACGCATTACTGCTTCACGGCAGAGATAGGCAGGGCGGTAGTACCTACCCGTGTGGACTCACATGAGGTTCTACCACCAGTAAAAGTACTCTATTGATCGAGTTATCGACAAGTTGAAACGAGTCACAAAACTTATTGTGAACAAAAACTCTACCAACCTTGGAGGAAGTATACACCATAAATCTTCTAGGGTGCGGCTCCTCTCTAGTCACAGTGTCACAGTACGTTGCATTGCAGACGCATATCACGGAGCTATTGTTTACTTGCAGCTCGGCGCATGTTTTATCTGCAATAAGAGTGTGTCCTTTTGTACGTGTAAACGTAAAAAAAACACATTAACAAAAATGTCGTTCGTGAAAACGGCCATTAATTAATTGGAATAATGACGTAAGAATTGATATTTGATAGACAGGTGTACGGATAAGAGGGTGCGCAAATAGAACATTTCTTTCTTTAATGATGCATAATCCACTATATGCACCCAGAAGTCTGTCCCAAATCTTTAACATAAGGTACAGGTATGGGACTCAGAGTCCCTGGAATCTTACTTCAGCAACCTCTTTAGTAGCAAATACGTATCCAATTATAGAGAAGTGGTTGAAATTTCAGTTTGAGCTGTTTCAAGGTACCAAGGACACTTTTTTTCTTTTTGTTATAAATAGGTATAAAAAACCAAAATATGATTGAAATTGATTCTTTACTACTTATTGAATGGGTTTTTAAATTATTTGGAATTTTTATATTCGATCATCGGCTATTTTGTAGCCGACTACTTAGAAGCGAATACTTTGAGACATTATGTATGTGCAATATTTTCCCCCCACCAAGAAAGAGTACCATGCTCTCCTCGCGGCCCTGTATAGTCAGGTTCCACACAAAAACCACAGACATACAAAGATCAGCGTACCCGAAGCACAGTTAATTGATCTTGGATACAACAACGAACTTAATAAGAGACAATAGAAGGCTCAGAAATTTATTATCGGCTTCCTGTCCTCAATATTTCAGTGAAGTATACCACCTGAGCCAAAGCGACGATCCAAATTCAATTATAATAACTGACAACTTAAGATTTAAATTCATTTTATATACAACATTATCTCTTTTTTTATAACAATTTTCTTTCCTACCTATGCTGATAGCCTTAAGAGGCTATTTCAGCTTCTNCAATAGAAGGCTCAGAAATTTATTATCGGCTTCCTGTCCTCAATATTTCAGTGAAGTATACCACCTGAGCCAAAGCGACGATCCAAATTCAATTATAATAACTGACAACTTAAGATTTAAATTCATTTTATATACAACATTATCTCTTTTTTTATAACAATTTTCTTTCCTACCTATGCTGATAGCCTTAAGAGGCTATTTCAGCTTCTCCTTGACGTGTGGATGAGCTCACGGGGCTCAAACCGGAGTTCTGCTAACACTGGCCCTAACAAGAGCCGTGCTTCGCAGAATCTACCACCGGATCTGAAACGCGACCCACTGAGAAGATCCGGCGAGAAACTCAGTGGGCTGTGTCTATGGGTTAATTTACTCGTCGAGCCCTTCGTCGTAAGCGACGGATTCGGCAAGGACGGTGACCGGTGCTTCAGGTACCTAAAAGCACCGTTAATGGATCGGGAGGATCCGTAATGACCGATAACACTAAAGCTCCATCAATAGTAACAAAAAAAGGGCAATCCATTCAGAAATAGAAGAGAGAATGGTACCTAACGGTTTTGCGGGCCCACTGAATTTATTTCGCCGATTTTAGGACATTAACTCTTCTCGAAACCGCATATACATTTTAATTTTTAAACAGCATGTTGAATTAATCCCACAATCGGATTAATTGATTTAGTATTTCGAATTAAATAAATGTGCACGAATTTTAATTAAATTAAGTTTTTTTATAATTTTTTTATTGCATAGATGGACATTACAGTCATCCCATAAAAGCCCTCTGAGTTTCTCGGAGGATCTTCTAAACGGATAATCTCTGAGCTCATGCTCGACCTTAATCCTGGTGAAGCTGAAAAGCCTCCGCTCCACCAGCAATCTCTCCATCCCAAACAAAACTTTAAAGCTGACAAAATCAATAAAATCTCACCCCTATAATATCCAACAACAAAGCTAAACAACAGTGAGATCTCAAATCCCACAACTAATAAGTTACGTTTGATCATTTTATTATTCCATTTCAGATACGACCACACTTGAATATTGCAACTAAAGAACTGAAGATAACTTAATACATTTTTAATCGTCTTAATACAGAAAGCTAATATAATCAATTACTTTGAAGAGTCATCTGAAAATCCGTATGTAATGTTTTTTTTTTATTGCTTAGATGGTTGGACGAGCTCACAGCCCACCTGGTGTTAAGTGGTTACTGGAGCCCATAGTCATCCACAACGTAAATGCGCCACCCATCTTGAGATATAAGTTCTAAGGTCTCAAGTATAGTTACGACGGCTGCCCCACCCTTTAAACCGAAACGCATTACTGCTTCACGGCAGAAACAGGCAGGGTGGTGGTACCCACCCGCGCGGACTCACAAGAGGTCCTACCACCAGTAATTACGCAAATTATAATTTTGCGGGTTTCATTTTTATTACACGATGTTATTCCTTCACCGTGGAAATCAATCGTGAACATCTGTTGAGTACGTATTTCATTAAAAAAATTGGTACCCGCCTGAGATTCGAACACCGGTGCATCGCTCAACACGAATGCACCGGACGTCTTATCCGTTAGGCCACGACGACTTCATTCACATGTAGGTATCATTATCGAAGAATAATGTCGATTAAATCGTAAAAAAAATATTTCGAGCATCTTAAAAATCGAATGGTTTATTTTTCATGTAAATCAAACCAGTTCCAACAAACTATGTGCTTGACTGGTTCGCAGTTATAGATTGGAAGTTGGTATCACCTATCAATGCGGGGTCACTAGTTGTTAAATCACAAAAAAACGTTACTAAAACAATGTAGGCTTTATTTACAAATATTGGAAATACCATGTGATGATCACAGCTTCCATGGGAATAAGGTACCTTAAAACTGATTCAAAACATCAGAAATCAGAAAGACACAACTATAATGGAGGGGTGAAGAGGAAATTCAGATCCAAGAAAAAAAATAGGCACCGAGCCACTTTTAAGCGAAACTTTTTTTTTATTACATAGTTGGGTGGACGAGCTCACATTCCACCTGGTGTTAAGTGGTTACCGGACCACATACACATCTACAACGTAAATGCCGCCACTCACCTTGAGACATAATTTCTAAAGTCTCAATATAGTTACAACGGCTGCCCCACCCTTCAAACCGAAACGCATTACTGCTTCACGGCAGCATTAGGTAGGGTGGTGGTATCTATCCGTGCGGACTCACAAGAGGTCCTGCTATCAGTAAAATCTCTTGGTAATATTGATAAATAATACTTTCAGGGCGTTGTTGAGAATTCCACCCTAGTGTAGTGGATCAGGCATTTTCGCCGATGCACACACTGATGACTATTTCGCGATAATGTTCAAAAAGGTGGCATCCACTATGCGAAGAGGAGGAGGAAGCACCAACAACGTCTTGAGGGTATTACCAGAACGACTGGATAGCCCGACTCTGGGTAGGTTCATTAAGTTGCATGTTGAGGCTGCCAGGGACGGTTTATTTAAATACTAACATATTTCTTAAGTTAATTGTAATACTAACACACTATGAAACTATGATGCCTTGATATAAAAGATTTTTATTTATTACTAGCTGACCCAGCAGACTTCGTAGTGCCTCAATCGATTAATAAAAGACCTAAACTTTTGCATAAAATAAGCTTAAAACAAACAAAAGGAATCCGTCCGACGGGGGACACATCAAACGAAAAACAAAATTGTTATTTTTATTTAATTCCGAGTTTAAAAGTCAAGACCAAACTTAACAAAATCGGTCCAGCCGTTCTCGAGTTTTAGCGAGACTAACGAACAGCAATTCATTTTTATATACAGTCAAACCTGGATAAGCGAGAGTTCAAGGGAGCACAATTTCATTCTCGCTTATAGAGGTTTCTCACTAACCCGAGTTTCTCGCTAATGCTTCCTCTGAATTTCATTTCGCGATTTTCCGGATTCAAACGCATTCACTATTTTAAGTTTATCACTTAATGACAGTACTTTAATTTTCCGTTTTGACATGATGCAGAACAGAACTTTCCTTCGCAATTGATTAACGATAAGCTGAGTAAGTCCGACAAACAGGACGGTACAGAGGCACACGTGTCCATTCGAAAAGAATGCGATAATATAACAACGTTATTTAGTTCCACAAAATAGAATAGGTTCAATATTGACGAGAAAACAATACAAAAACAATGGAAGAAAGTTCCACAAAAGTTAAGAATGAGTCATAAAATAGCAGATGTTAAATTTGTAATTTGTTTTTTCATTTGTTCCTCCTAAATAATGTAAATAAATAAAGCTCGACTGTCGCTTATAGAGGTATAGATAAGTAGCTGTCTCACTTACGGAGGTCCATGAGGGAAAAATGACTCTCTCTTACAGAGGTTTCTGTTTCTCGCTAATAGAGGTTTTGGGAGCTTAAAATGACGGTTCCTGGCTATTACTCTCACTTATAGAGTTTTCTCACTTATCCAGTTCTCACTTACCCAGGTTTGACTGTATATAGACAAATATGTAGTTTCTAGAGGACAGGCAAGGCTACTCAAAGACACGTAGATAAGTGTCTTTGAGTAGCCTTGCCTGTTCTCTTTGATGAGAAGAACTGTAGTACTTTAATGGAATTGCAAGCCAGTATCTGTACAGATTGCCAGACCGAGAATGCATTCATCTATGATCTTTGATAAAACCATGTTTTGTTCCTTATTTAGCTCAAACGTTTAAATAAAGAGCAATGCAGAGACACAGTGTAAATATATAGAAAACAAGTTGTTTTATCGGCACTTGTATCAATAATTAACTACAATGCATAAATTCTGCAGACTGTCTCTGAATTTACGGCATGGTTTTAATGGTTCTTTTAATATACCTCATCATAATAAACGGTATTTTTTTGTAAAAATACCATCAAATGGATACAAGACAAATAAATAAAAATGTGCATCTTCCCTTTCAAATTCAAAATATTTTGGAATACGCGAAACAGTTACCGTTTTTAACATGTTTCTTCCGAAAACTAAAATGGTTTCTTATTATAAGTACTTGTGGTTATAGTTCTTTCTTCATTCGTTTTTCTGTGAATCAATTTCTTTACCAGTTTACAGATTCATCCGTCTTTAAAAGTACAACGTTGCCAAGATTTTAGCATATTCTCTTTGGATGCAATTACTTGTATGTATTCATGTCCTTTGGAATCCTCCCAATTAATTCTTGGTGCTTTTAGGAATTCCAAGGACCGGTCGCCATTCTCGTCAAACTCTTCGAATGCGGCAAAGAATTCAACGTGCAACCGAACCCATAGACACAACCCACTTAATTACTGAGCCCTGTGAGATTGTCTACTAGCCAAGTCAGAATAGCCCCTCGAGGGTACTGGCAAGTAGACAAATAAGTATTAATGACTGTAACAAAACGCACACTCTGTGGACACAAAGAAATGCTTCATATTATATGAATTTCAAATTATTGATCATTAGTACTACGAGTATTCATAAAATGAAAGAGTAATTTTAATCCATAGATTTAATATACAAAATATTTGTGATTTTAACATTATCTTACGAACTAATTTATTAAATTAAAGTCCACTGATCTTCCTTACACTATTACAGTGCTACAAGATATCGTTTTCGATATTATCCTATCAAATAATGAAGTAATATATACTAACAGTCTTTAGTTACAATCAGTTGAATTTCACATTATCCGCTTATTTATTCAAAATCTTTAGGTTGACAACTTTGAAATCCTATCGAATCAAATGTATTAAAATATTTCGTTCCAAAATCATTGTGATTATTTAAAAAAAATACAATATGACAATGTACCGTATATTGAAGACTAATTTTCTTTAGTACACACCATTCGACATTTGTATGAAACATTCTCTTTCAGCGCATCTGGTGCGATAATACCCACATTCTCTGAACCGGATCTCTCCATTTCATTCTCAGGGTCCAGTTTAGCTGGAAGGTTTTCTGAAAGATGAGAAGGATCGAATTTAGAGAGCCTCTCTTTCACAGCGTCCCGTAATTTTGTCAAAAGAGAATTTTCTTCTGTTTTCGTGGGCCACGTTAGTGAAGGAATCTTTTTCCGCGTTAAATCCATTCCTGAATATCGCAGAGAATCTGAGGGTGAAAAATCATCATGCTGCAAATTTTGAAGCCTTCCTTGTATGGGATATTTAATTTTAGGCATCTTCGTAGTAGGTCTAGATGTGGTGCTAGGTAATTCTTCGGCACTTTTGAAAATTATGGCATGATTTTCAGTTGGCGATCGTTCCATGTCAAAGCTTCTAGCCTTGGGTTTATTGTAGACATTTTCATCTAATATTTTAGTCGGATCGAGTTTAGATAATCTTTCTTTTACAGCTTCCCTGACTTTAGTTAAAAATGAACTATCAGCTGGTTTCGGCCATGTCTTTGACAGACGTTGCTTAATCGACTCATCCTTATCGGAAGATCTAACAGAATCTTGCGGATCTGTATGTGTATCGTCATTTTCTGCGGAACTTGGTTTTATATTCCATAAGGGATATTTAATGTGATTTATTACTTGTATTGGTTTCACTGTCGTAGCTTGCGTATAGCACTGTTGTTTCTTTGGATTCTCCTCTTCTTCTCTCAATACAACACTCGTCCCTCTTATAGGAATATTACCATTTGATTCTCTATCTTCTAAATTTTGATGCCGACCTCTAGTTTTTAAAGGATATTTAATTTTAGGCACATGTGGCTTTGCTGTGGTAGTGACAGTTTCTTCAGTTTCTCTTTGTAATTCGCTCTGTCTTTCGGAATTCTGTTTATCTCTAAAAACTGGGATTTTTAGTCTATTGTACAGGTCTTCCACTCGCGTTTTTAAAGGTACAGATATAGTTAAAGATCCGTTTGGATCTATTTGTTCAATTTCTTGAACTCGACTCTTAGTTTTCAGTGGATATTTAATTTTGGGCACTTGTGGTTTTACTGTCGTTATAGCACTTTCGGTTATTTCTTCAGAACCGTGGTCATCCCTCCAAACTGGTGCTTTAAGTCTATTATATAATTCTTTAATTCGATGATTTAATGGATTTCTGT